AAAAAAAAAAACCCAAACCTCTTTCACTAAATTTTAATTAATATTAAAGTGTGATCAGTGGCAGCTCTAATGGTTTTGGGGTATGCCACCAGAAAATGTTGCCTTAGACTGGTGTGTATATGTATGTATAACGCAGCAGAGACTTTGATAATATTAACAAGAATATTTAGTTAATATAAGTTTGAAACTGAAAATGTGGCTGTTGCCCTGTAAAGGACCTTTAAACTTTCTTGTATGTACTTTTTTCAGCTCAGATTAGTTTGGCAGAGCCATGCTCTCTACTTTGCAGGCAGCCGAGCACACAAGGATTCTGCAGCCCATTTAGGGGTTAGCAGAGAAAAAAACCCCACTTCTTACCTGTATCAAGTTTTTACATGCTATAACCTAATGTTACACACCACCTCCTTTTTATCTACCACCCTCTCCCTTGCATACATTTGCCCTTATGTGTCACTGCTAAGACAAGGAGGACAAAGATTTTAGCCAACTTCCTAAAACTCTGCAGGGATGGGCCCAACTATCCCCAACAGAGGAGCCACCCCTGCAGCGTGCCCAACAGCCCGTACGCCCAGCAATGGACCTTCATCATTAATGAGACTGTAGCCTTTTCTAGAAGTTGCTAGAATTCAGTAACGAGCGGTCATAAAGTTGGGGCAGCAGAGCTGCTAGGATTTTTAGTTTCCTAGAATATTTTTCAAGCTATTTCAAGCAGTCTGTAATCCAAAGTCACCATATATTATGGCAATCAAAGTCCAGCAGGTGAGGATATAAATAAACATGGTTCGCAAACAATGTTATTTCTCTTACCAGACTTACTATGATTGTTCAGGAGTGTAATGAGCGTGCCAGTGTCAACAGACCCTACGTACCCAACGCTCCGACCTTTCATTTTGTAGCTGTGGAAACTACACTTAGTTTTTTGGAAGAAAGTTTTATAGGCTTTATTGGTCATACTTTCTTAAATATGCTATTTCCATATTCTCTTCTAAAAAGTCTTTCATTGTCTTTACATAAACATTTATATAATTTCACTCAGCAGTAATAACTTAATACATATGCTAGTGTAATAATTCACAAGGAAGTAATAGATTTGCACTTGCCTGGACAAACACCATTTTCCCATGTTGTACATAGGCACTAAGATAAATATTACTAGGCTTTCTTGTACAGTTTGTGTCCATCCCTCTCTGTAAAAAAGATCTCATTTATTCAGTCTCAAATTATTAAATAAATCTTCAGTCTACCCTTCATATCCTTTATCACAATTGACACTGTATTAAGAGAGGAACATGGTATCACAACTTTGTGTAGAACTTTAGATTTTTAAAAAAATGCCCCTTCATGGAATGAAATTAATGAATTAGGCAGATGGAAGCATTAAAATATTTACCTTGTAAAAAAATCATGCAGTGACTAATACTCTTTTATTAAGCTTGTTGGTTTGTTTCTTCTACAGGAAACTTGGGTTTTTTACTTTGCTGAATACTTTCGAAGTATTAAAATAGAGAACACTTAGTATTTTGCTCTTTAATACCATATTATTTTTCAATAGCAATTATTTTTGCCAGCAGTTCAAAACTGCTCTATATATGAAGAGAAACATCACATGCATATATGAAGACTCAACACTATCTGAGAGAACTTTTTTAATTATTTCAGCATATTAGTCTCTTCTAGTGATAAAGAGCTTTAAAACACAATAAAGATGCAGGATGCCAATACACTAGTTTCTCAACTCTTGCCCCCTCATCCTTTTCCATTTCCCTCTAAATACACACTTTTATGCAGCTGGACTGTTGCACAAATGCAGTATTTAATATACAGAACAGAACAAAACCCAATATAAAGGTCAATAAGACTAATTAGAAAAGGGAACTAGGGAAAAACCTATTACTGACCACCATTGTGAGAGCTGAGCAGCATCATGTTTGTACTGTAGTAACAGTTTAGAAACAGATATAGTACAATCCCTTCAGTGGTGGATTTAGTTAAACTGTATTCTATTTTTTTAATTAATTTCTATAAACTTTGTGGTTTTCTAAGCGCTTGGCTAGTTTCAGTCAAATTTGACAAGGAAGAAGAATGCATTAGACACACTAAGCTTGTGCAAGTGAAAAATGAAAATTTCCATTAGATTAAAAAAAATTGAAAAGGCTGTAAACACCTTCCTCTACTGTGGGAAACATAGTGAGAAAATGATTTTCAAACAAACCGGCTGGGACAAGGTCCAGGCCACACAGGAGACACATACCAGCCAGTCAAGTCAGCACATGTGTAGCTCCAGCCCAGCCACAGCACATGACATCTCTTTGCATCCCACAGGCCAAAAATAAGGTACGAAATGGGGACAGGGAAGGTAGAAAGAGGAGGAGGAAAGGAAACAACAGCATTATTATCTTGGGCAGAAGAAAGGACTGGCAAGAATACCCTATCGCAGACATACAAGAAAGTATATAGAGTGTGACAAATTGGGGAAGACAATAATACACGCAACTCGGCAAAAGACAAGTGTACTGAAAACTAGGCTTCATTTGTTTAGCAGCTTACAGAATTGTATGAAATTCAGCATACCTCAGCAGACTGCCTGCATACCTGCGGAGGAAGGGAGTGGCACATACTGGCAGAGGGAGAGACAGCCCTACAGAAGTTGTCACTGACAAAGCTGCCTGAAAAGGCTGCGCAGCACTCCGCTGGATTCCCTACTTCAGGATTTTTGTGCTTAGCAGGAGCAACTTGACACAGCCAATTGATGCACATGTCTCCACGTCCCAAAACATACTGGAGACTCAAGAGAAATTTAGTCCAGCTTGGGAGCTGCAGCAGCTTGGCGCACACACCTGAGGTCACAGCACTAGATGTTGAAGACCCAAGGGAATGGTTGCTGCCTGCAATTTCAACATCCAACAAAGTAACACATTATGTCAGCCACCACCTTGTTCAAAGGCAGAAGGGATACGGGTGACCTGTGCAATCAGAAGTACGTTCAATGCAGTCCAGTGATTTCCCTGTTGTATTTAGCAGGTGCACAAAAGCTCTTTAATTCACATTTAATTTTATGAACACAGTAAGTAGAATATCCTCTCAGTAGTTTATCCTACTTTTCCTGTTTTAGGGAGGGGGGGTCAAAACAAACACCACATTAGTAATAAGATTCGTCATTCAGTTCCTTATCTTGTATCTCATTATTTCTTTGGCAACAGGAGTTACAGCATTTCCTTTATAAATGGGAGATGCTGGACAGACTATACACCTTTACTGGCTAGCCAATATACATTACATGGATTACTGACTGCCAAAGCAAGCTCTTTTATCCAAAGCTCAGAGGAAGATAGCCTGTGTAAGTTTGGTCAGCTTCCATGACAGTAAACTCGTAACAGCAGAAACAATTCTAGCTGTGCAACAAGTTTGCAATGGAGAGCTATGCAAATCATGGTAATGGCGTAATAGCTCTTCCCCAGCTCCACTGTCAGATGCCAAGTCTACCCACCCCCAACCCTACACCAGAGATGTTCTAGATTAGAGGCTTATTATAAATACTCACATAGCATTTGAAAGAGCAGTCTATGCATTCCTGAAATTGCTACATTCACAGCATGTTTATTTTTTATACAAACAATCTGTATTTTATAATTTTCCTCCTGTTGCATATTAAGAGTGGAAAATAAAATAAAGCATACTTCTCACAGCTTTGCATACTTCTCACAGCTTTAAGAAAAAAATATCATGGTATCCAGATATTAGATAGCTAATACAAATGTTGATAATTAGAGTTTTAGAATCTTTTCACCTGCACTGAGGGTGCTTGCTTGCTTTAAGGCACTATTAAGCTGCTGAATTTTTTAGCAGGTTATCATCATTTCAACATGGAATAATTAGAAGCCTGTTTCAAAGTTTTATTAATTCAAGTAATAAAAAAGTTACAGCAACTTCAACTATGTACAAACAGCCATAAAAACGTAAAAATGTCTTCAGTTATACATGAGAGTCTCATTGCAACATGGCTACAAAAATCATTATTTTCAATAAACTTCTCACAAGGGTAAAATAACCATTTAAGCATGTATGCTTCAAAACCCTAGTAACAGCAGTTGTCAACTTATTTCATCATCATAAAAAAACATAAAATCAGGGAGCAATAGACAGACTTCTCTAAGATGGGGCATTTAACTCAGCAAATAGTAAAAGTAGTAGCACAGTTTTACCAGTTTGGCTGTTAGTTTTAACAATCATTAAGTGAGCACAGTTGCCTCCCTTTCAGAAGCAATCTTTTAAGAGTGAAGATCCATGCCTCTAATGTTTCTGCTGTTGTCTTGTTTGAATCTTACTCTGTCTTCAGTTGATTTGGTTACGCGTTCAGTCCTCTATGCATTTCATTCATTTCCTTTATCTGGAGAGGAGGCAGAGGGAGATCAACATTTGTGCTATTTCTCAACACAAGACCTAAGAAGTCACTGGGACTTAACAACCCAGATTTTCATTAGCAAAGAGATTTGATGTAACACTAACAGAATCAAACATGCCAAGACCACTGTAGCACTTCAGCTTTTTTTTATTATTATTTTTAAAAAAACCCACACCACTCTTTAGGGTGTGTGCAGGGAACAGACTACTATTTAGCCACATCCTTTGGATTCCTTTACAAAAGGCTCTACACTTGGGGTGAAGCATCATGAACTAGTACCATTTGTTACTATTCCACTGGAAAATAGCTCTTCAATAGAATCTGCAAGCTCCATACAAATACTTCAAGTAAAGGTCTTTCATGACAGAACAAGACTATCAGCATTTCCTGTGGATTGTATAGCCCTTGCTATAGATATGTAAAAATGGTACTTGCTGTCAGCACCACCTCCCACCCCTGGGAAATGCAGGGAATCACCAGGTGCCTTTGAACCTAGCACAGAATGCACATGGTGAACTAGGTAGAGATGAAACTAGTTACAGAATTTGAATACTTTCAGTCTCCTTGAACATATCTGAAGCACGCAAAGCAACTCTTAACCTACGGCAAACTTAGGAGTTTCTGGATTCTGGCCAACCTCCTCCCCACACATATACCATAAACAGAAATTAATTACCTCTGCTTTCACGTACTTCCCTTTCCTCCTCCTTGTGAGGACCTGTAAAAGAAGGACAGAATAATTGTGAAGTTTTATTTTAAGTCTTGACTTACTTTCATTTTCCACACCCTTCAGTCATAACCTGAAACAGTGATGGTAAGTCCATCACCTCGTTCCCACCTCCAAGTCTCAAAAAAGCAGCCAGTTTACAGAGGATTTCTATCAAGTCCAGTTACCCTGGTATGTTGTCATTTCCCAAATGCCACTGTTACTCGTTCTGCTTGGCAGCTTCACTAGAACTTACCAGAACCACAATTCCAGCAACTATTGCTACTATTACTACTACAATGACAGCAATGAGGCCAGCTGTCAGAGACTTCATGGAAAACTCCGGTGCTATTTCATCAACATAGTAGACCACAGTCTTCTCAAAATGCAGTTCTTCATTATCAATACTGATGTTTAGTCCATTATTATTATGAAAGATGGAGTCGCCTTTTACCTAAGAACAGATAGGGAAAAAAAAGAGGCTTGGTAGTTCACATTGCAATAGGCATCCATCTAGGCAGTGCAATAATTCATCTTGCTTTAGCCAGGACATAGTAAGACTACTGGATACAACACAATGTACACATCTAGTCTTTGGCAGACTTCACTCATGACACACTTACATCTTTTTCAAAGTAGTAGGCCACATCAGCTATATCCACATCTCCAGAAGATTTGTCTGAGGAATCTTGCTTCAAATCAATAGTAATGTAAGGTTTTTCATACTGCAAAAAACCCCAAACATAGTACGGTATTAAGAAGAGGCCAGTTTAAATCCAACCATCAAATACAACAGCAAAATACTGTGATCCAACTTGTGAACTCACATCCTGAATAAAGTTTCTGGTACTTGTTCACAAACCAACAACAATAAGATTCAAATTCCACTTTTTTAGTAAAGTAAAGTAAGAATTAATCTACAGACTGAGGAAAGCAACATGTAATTTCTCAGTATTTCAGTTCAGATACAGTATTTGCTAGCTGCTCAGTAAGTGACACTATTTTGAGAGCTTCTAATAAGACTCATGCTGCACTGCATTAGTCAAACAAGAGTTTTCAAAGTTACCCACAACAAAATAAAATTGATACTTTACTAAAAATGATGTGCCTCTTACCAGAACATTACTTATATAGCGTCCATCCAGCATATAACGACTGGTAATTGTTTCCTTGAAGAACCTGCAGAGATATTAAAACCATAGCTCTTAAAAACAGTACTATTTTACACATCTATTTTCAGAAGCCAGGAAGACTAGTATAATTGGGTTTTTTCCTGCAGTCTCTCTGTGGTGGGTTGACCCCACCCAGCAGCTAAACCCTACCCAGTCTCTTACTTCCCCCTAGCAGGATTGGGAAGGCAATCAGAAGGGTAAAAGCAAGAAAAAAAAAACCCTCATGGGTAAAGATAAGACAGTTTAGTAAGTGAAAGGGTTGGGTGGAGGAAATAAAAGCCTTAACGATGCAAAAGCAATCACTCACCACTAGCAGACCAATGCCCAGCCGATCTCCGAGCAAAGGCTACTCAGGAAAAACTTCCCCCCTCCCCAGTTTTATTGCTGAGCATGACACATGCAATACAGGATATCTCTTTGGTCAATTTGAGTCAGCTGTCTCTGCTGTGTCCCCTCTCAACTCCTTGCCTACCCCCAGCCTACTCACTATGTAAGCACTGATCATCAGCAGCTAAAACATCAGTGACTTACCAACACTGTTTTGGTCACCAGTCTGAAACACAGCACTGTATCAACTGCGACCAAGAAATTAACTCCATGCCAACCAAACCCAGTACACTCACATTATTAAGTTATACTAGAGCTCTGATAATTCCTAACACTGAAGATACACTTACTGAAAAAATACACACATTACTGTAGTGTTAGAGAAAAGAGTTTGAACAGTTTTGAGAGTTCAGGAAAGGAGCTAGAGAGTAGTAGCTTTTGTTCCAGTGTGTGTGTGTGAATCTAATAGCTACAAACACATTATTCTTGCTACATGGCCTCATGATAGAGAGAAGTAGGATTTTATTTTAGCCAAAAAATAGCTAAACTTGTTTTTCTCCTGCTGCTTCTACGCAGTCCCTCTGCCATCTTTGTCATTTACTTTTTGGGCAGTTTCAACTTATTGCCTTCTATTTCCTTCAGTATATTGACTTGATGAAAGAGGTAGTGATCAATTTTAAAATGGAAATGAATCTCTTAACTAGTTAATTTATTTCCAATAAAAATTAAAACAATTCTGTGATGATCACTTCTAAGATGTCTTACAAATGAGTTCACAGGTTTGACAATGCTTTTAAATGTTTTGCTGCTTAGAAGTATGCTACATATCTAGTAGTACATGCAGACATTGTCATGATATCTTACTGTCATCACTTACTTGTTCAAAGATTCAGTGGTCAGAGGAGCATTTCTCTCGGCATGTTTCATTTCAATGATGATCCACCTGAAGTAATAGAGAAGTAGAATGAATACTCTTCATGTATAACAATGCATACTAAAAATCTAAGCCCGGGGGAAAAAAACAAGCAGTGAGAGAAAAAACAAAGAAACTGCCCTCCAAAACCCTTCCACATCAGCTTGTTACTGAAGAGAAAAAAAAAAAAAAGCAGTAAATGAGCATTTATTGCTCCGTCTTCATTCATCCTCAGCACATCATTCATACATACAAATCCTCTATAATGCAGAACCTAATACAGGAATGTTTTCATGTCACAGCACACCCTGTTGAAAGACTTACGTCGTTCTGACTAATCGATTGCACTTCAAGTCTGCATCATGTTTGTCAGTTCTCCTAACGCCAGCTGTATTCACACACCAACAGGTGGTTCCGTTGCACTGCTTTGCCTTGAAAACACCAGTATTTTCACACTCAGGATCATAAAGGCCGTCAGTGTTTTCAAATGCATCTTTTGGTTTCTCACGGCGACCTGATTTTGAGCCTGTCATTTCTGCTTTCATCAACAGGCATTTTGAAGTCACTAAAAATAATCAGAAAGTCATGTTACGCAGTATGTTCAAAACAGAGCTCTTAAGTCTGTAAAACCACAAGGTTACATCAGAAGCAACTAGATTTAAAGCCATTACAAGAAGAGTGGGTGCCTAACACATAGGTGGCACAGAAAGTCAACGCAATTGCAGTAAGTCAGCCTCTGAAGCCAAACACGTACGAAGTCCAGCCACCTTCACTTTCGTTCAGCCAGAAGATCATTTACAGCTTAGCTGAGCTCAAACCAGGAGTAAGGTCCTGGGGCAAAGCTCTTTCAACTCTAGATTTGTAGGAAAAGTCATGATACATACTTAGAAGGAAGCTAAAAATTAATCTTTGAGAAACCCTTGCCATCAGAGACAAAAAATTAAGGAGGATGGGGGAGCCTGCATCAGTATAAGCGTACGCACATCCACACAGAAGGCATCCCAAACGCTTATTGCCAGTCGATCTGGAAGACCAGGAAGCAGCTTTCCTTCCTCGCTACCATTATTTGCCGGGAACTCAATGCTCATTTTCACATATTCCCCGAATTTTAGTTGGCGCTTTTCCTTGCCGCCCTGAACCAGAGAGCACACCCAGGCCAAGCCACAACCGACACGCGTGCTTTACTCACAAGTGCCGCAGTTCACGGACACGCCGGAGCCCACCGAGTCGCACCAGCAGGAGCCATTGAGCGGCCTGCAGTTGGTGACACGCTTGTTCTTCTCGCAGATGCACGCTGGAAGATAAGCGCGGCTGTGAGCGCGGACGCCCCCGGGGAGGTAGCCGGGCACCCCAGGGCACCGTCACCCGCTGTTGCGCGGGCGGGGAGGAGACAAAGCTGGCCCTCACTGGACAGAGCCGACCAGGTGTAGGGCACCCGTACCTCACCGCTTACCACCTTACCACCCACCCTTCCCTAGAAAAGGGCGAGAACCTCCTTCGCGACGCTCGGGCTCCCTGAGGACCCTTCCCCCAGGCTGCCGGGGTCCTCCGGCCGGGGACAAAGGGGCGCGGAAGCCAGGCATCCCTACCCCCTCCTCACCTTCCCGCCCGCGAGGCGGCCCCTCCCCGCTGGCCAGCGGCCCCTGCAG